AACAAACCACTTTTGAAGTCCTGTTATGTGCAGAGCAGGTGCTGGGTGCCTTCTGGGACAAATTATACCTCGGAAATTTCCCTCAAGGGTGTGTAGACTACTAAGAGAAATGCCTGAGGAGAAGCATTTAACCACAGGCAAAATGCTAATGAAGTGAGCTATCCACCCCATTCAACAATTCCAATACTGAAATCATCATCCTCATTTTTGAACTGGTTTTTTTCTTTGAAATAACTGTCTCAGCTCAAAGTACTATTATCTATCTTGCCCATCATCACTGCCAGAAACCTGGACACCGGCTTCGGTTGTTCTCTTCTCTTTACCCCCCAGAACCTGTCAGTTATCATCTCATAGAGCTGACTCATACAGAGTTTTTAAGACTGTTAATGCAACAGTCTAGCTCTTTTGCCTGTTCGTAATCTCCCCAAATATATTGTGCAGGACTCCAGCCAAGTCAATGTATTTGAAATAATGATCTCTCAGTGCCACTCACCTGTTTAACCTTTATGACTCCCAGTTGCCTATAGAATCAACCTCATATTTTAATGAGGCAAAACCCTCCAAAATGTGACCTCTCCTCACACTTTTATACTAGTTACTGAATACTCTCTAAGGATTTTTGCTTTTGCTAAGGCCATCCCTGTCCCCCTAGAGTGGGCTTCAATTTTATCTTCTCTTGGCTGACTCCTACATATCCTTCAATAGTCAATTGATTCCTTCATCTTCCCACATTGTATTACCCTGGATACCTGTACCAGGTTTCTGTCTGTTTCTGCCACTGGATGTGGGCTCCTCAAGGCGCGAGGTCTAACGTATCATTGATCTTTAGTGTGGTGCCTGGCATATCGTAGATAATAAAATTTTTTTAATAGATTGAACTATTCATTGAACCAAAAGGAATATAAAAGAGTATAGGAAAGTATCATGGAAGAAAATAATTAGTTCCAACTGAGGTGATCAAAAAAGTGCCCATGTAAACTTTAGTAATTGAGTTGTACCTTAAAAAATGTCCATATCTAAAAAGAAGACACAAAATGCAAAGTGAGGGTTTTCCATGGGCATCAGTCCTGAGTTGTTATTGTATTACATAGAAAACAAAGGACCCGTTACCTTAGCTCATTAGTTTTCGATGAGTAAATATGGGAGTCGATCGTGTGGGATCTTGAACACCATCATCAAGAGCTTATTCTTAATTCCATCCACAACAGCAATAAAGGGTTTTAGAACAGGGGAGGGTCATAATTTGACCTCAAGTTTACTAGAGAGTAAACACTTTGAGAATTAGAATTTTGTGTTTGTTTCTTGCTATTTTATTCTCAAATAAAGGGTGATTTGTGTAAATGTAGAAACTCATACAATTAGAAACAAAAGAGATATTTCAGAAGTGTTGACTAATACATCTTTTTGAGGTGAGGGAGATGTTCAACATGTTTGCTGTAGAATACAGTGGTCACTAGACACAGGAGGCTATCGCTCACTTTAAATTAAGGAACTGAGGAATTGCTATTTTAATGATTCTTAATTAATTAAAATTTAAATAGCCACATGTGACTTAGTGGCTAGCATTTTGGACAACACAGCGTAGAAAATTCTCCCGAACAGGGTCCCAACAGGAAACAGATGGAACACTCAGGTTAGGATAATTCAAGGAGAGTTTATTTATAAAGAGACTTTCTCTATGTGCTGCTTTAAGGGAACCACACCAGAGGGTGCATGCGATTAACTGTGGTAGTGACGTGGGAGCAATGGTGAGGCAGAATTTATGGTAAGACTCCTAGTTAAGATTATCAGCCTGAATCACATTGGGACATTATTTATATTATGCAACAAAAATTTTAAGGAAACGTTATTGAATAAAGTTTATGCTAACAACTGTTCTTTTCAATAAAATATTTCCTGGCAGTTTACTCTCTGATGAAGAATGTGATTGCTTTCTCTATATAGTGCTTATCCACGCCATGGTTTCTTATTGTCTTTCCCCCTGGCTTTCTACTGTAAATGGTAGCTTTTCCATTAGCTGGGCTGTGCTGACTTAATGATGGCTCCTGTCAAGGCTTCCTGTCAGGAGATCCTCTCCTCTGAGCACCTGGGATGTAGGGAGGCTCTGACTGTTATCTGTGTTGTGTTTTAACATCCTGCCCTCTCCATCCATCCCTTACCTCAGCACGCACCACTCACCTTCAGTCCTAGCTCATTGCTTGATGATTTGTTAAGGCTTTGAAAACAGAAGGAATGAGGGCTTTTAAGCAAGATGGGGTTATTTCTTTTTGCTTTATTTATTTTTATGCCATGCAAACGGAGTAAAGAGGCATAAAATGGCTTGAGTGAAGCCAAATAAATCTGGATAAGTAGAGCAAGAATTCAATAAAAAGCTGGAGGTGAAAAAGAAGACAGATGGGGGTGGGGAGGAAGGAGAGAAAGGGAAGAAAGAAGGAAAAAAAACTTTTTTAGTTCTCATAATGATAGGAACTGTTTATTGTGATCTAGAGAACAGAATGTCCTTGACCCAGTGACACATTTTAAACTAAGGTTAAGCTCTGGGCGGAAATTAGAAAATCATCATTATAGTCCACATTGAATCTCTTCATGCTAACACCTCCTGTCTTTTTCTATTAAAGTTTTGTATGCCACTGCCGCTCACTCTGAGAAGGCTGATGTCTTTTAGTTGTTGCAATGAGTCATATTGCAGAAGCTCGTGAGTTTTATGGCCAACACAACAGAAGTCTCTCATTTTATTCCAGTGTGTGGGGGGTGTTCGAGGAGGGGATGCACTTTGTGCCACTCCCGCCCCTTTTCGACTACCTCTGATTTCATGAAGTGGAAAGAACTATAACCAGGAACTAACACTGCACAGGGCTGGAGAACAAGAGCTAGATTCTTTGGGTAAAGTCATAAACTCTCTTACCTCCCATTGTGTGTCCGTTTATGCCATTGCCTCATATAGCCCTGCACTAACTTTTCACAGTTCTCCAGTGCCAGCATGGAGAATGCTGGGTTAGAGCTGGGACAGTAACCACACTTTCATCTGAGTAATTGTCACTGTTGCCCTTATTGCTTTGACATCCAGAATTTTACTCCTCTCTGTCCTTCTTCCCACTCCCTTCCCTGGACACAGTCTTCATCATGCACACATTTCGCACTCACTTTCAAAAATAAAATGTGGTAAAGGACTTAGTAGTTTTTTACAGTGTGCCCTCTAGGAGACATCTGAGAATGTCTGGGGTCAACTTTTGCCTTTCTGAGTGTCTAGGAGTTGCTATTACAATTTGGTAGATGAGTGCAAGGATGCCAACCATTTTTCAATATGTAGAATGCGATTCCTAATTTTGGTGATTTTTTCCATCTTAAATACCACTAATACTGTTTTTGCGAAAATCTAGATCTGACTAAGGTTTAAGTGGGTACCAGAAACATCAGCCAATAGAGAGTTTTAATAGTGTCTTGATAGATAGATGCTAAAATCTCCTTTAGAGACCAGTATGGTCTGACACCTGCCTGTCATATAATAGGCCCCTAATAAAACTACATTGTATTTTGAATGGTGTTGACTCATTTGTGTATTTACAAATGGGTCAACACCATTCAAAAAGTCTTATGCAAGTTATTTTAGAAATAGAAAAAATTTAAGGTACACTTGCCAACATCAGGGTTCTAGCAGTTTCATAAGGGTAATGATTATGCACAGAAACAAAGTGAGCATATTGGGAAATTATCCAAATGCTGTGGAACAAGGAAAGGTAAGAGTTTGGTGTTGAGCAGAGTCCTTGGAATGACTCGAGTCATTAGAACAGGCAGGATTTTAATAGGGGATTATTTGGGGAGATACTTGCTGAAGTCTAAGGTACATTATATACACAAACTTGAAAAAAAGAAATAGAAAATATAGGAATATTGTTCCTATAAAGAACAGTACTTGAAATGTGGTGGAGGCTAAGACTAAAAAGATAGGTTAAGATAAAATAGATGGTCTTGAACTTCTTGTAAAGGAGTCTTTCAACTTGAAGTTGTGGATTTATGTATGAGTTTAGTCATTGGAGGTACTACATAGCATTCTGCTAATGGTTTACACTGTGCCTCGATGTCCTTCTTCTTTATGGGGTCCATGCTATACACTCCTTCAATTATCAGCTGATTAAACATATGTTCCTGATTTTCAAGGTCTCCTTTCAAAAGCCCTGTTCAATTTATTAATTTAAATAGTACCAATTTTCTGGAAGTGAATCACATAATGATTTTTCTTAACCTCCCTCATATAAGATATCACTGAAAAAAGTATGATTAGATTCAATTTTAGTTGTCTCCCACAAAAGTAATATGTAGAAAATACCCACCAAGGTGACTATGTGCTTAATAGCCTAAGAATTTAGGTTAAAGAAATAACAGAGAGAACTCTTCTACTTAAAGAACGAGTAGGTATGGCATGAATTATTTTAAAGAACTGAAAACAGCGTCCAGTTCTTAAGAACTTGAAACAATTTGTTCTTGGAATATTGTCAGCTAAAATTGTGGTCAACTTTTGCAAATTGTATGAATTTGCATTGCATATTTTATTTAGTGTTTAGCAAAACTCCAATATGGTTCTGTATAACTTACACAATACACCATGGAAATGACTTCAGGAACTCCCACGGAAGTTGACAATTTGGACATTTAATGCTTTTAAGCTAATTGTATGCTTAGCAGTTAAAAAGTCGACTTGTTAAGAATGATGATCAGAGTTTTGGGAGATAATTCTCTGCCTATTGCCACAACAAGTGCAACCCAGCCCTGCATCAGAAATGTTTTAGAAGCTTAAAGAAGAAAACGATGAGAGCTTTAATCATCATCCTACATATTTAGTCTTAAGTGAAGTGCTCATGAATCACATGCAATATCATAGCAATTTTTAGACCTATTCTTAAAATTTCAAGCTGTTATTTTCAGGAAATTTAGAAAGCAAATTGTTAAGTGCCAAAGAATAATTTCATAACATTACTTATGCCATTTTTTTCTCCCTGCAGGCTGGAAGAAAGGAGAGGAGTAATACCCTGAATATTGCCATAGACAACATGTGCAAGAAGACTAGAGACCTTCGCAGACAGGTGAGGAAAGGCAGGAAAGTGGAACCAGAAACGCCATGCAGAATGAACCTTTCCCCTCCATTGCTGGAATGTTGATTTTTTGTTTTTGTTCTTTTAAAATTCCTTTAAAACACAAAACAAGAAAAATAAATGTATCCTTTCAGCAGTTACATATCTCAGCCATTTTTGTGACAAACATAATCTATGAGAAAGTGTGGGACTGATTATCATGCAGTTACATTTAAATGCTGACTCTGCTCTCATCAGGTGTGTGATCTTGGGGATAGATTTTATCTTTCTGAGTCTCTCTGAACCTATAAAATGGGATTAATAATTCATAATAGAGCTGTTAGGATTAAATGAAATGCCTGTCATGGCCTGCTACATTGTATTTAGGGAATGTTGGTGAATTGATTCTATAAAAACTGAGTTTATCATCCAAATGCTTACAGCAAGCAACTAGTGATTCAGGCAACCCATCAGTTCCTCCTTCTAGTGCTTTTCCGGATGCTTCAGAAGTTAGTTTCCGTTTAAGTTAAGGACACTTTTTAAACTTAGACCAGCAGGAGTATATGATTAGAAAAGATTTTATTAAATAATTTAAAAGTACAATATTATACCATAAGTTAATTTTTTCCCCAGAAATATGAAGATTTTTCTGTTTTCACAGACATTTGTTTTCCATTCCTTTCACTATTAAAAACCAGAGTCCTTTTTCAAGCACAACTTTAACTTGGTCACCATTAATTCATAAAAGAGGGCCACAGACTTTTCAACCATAAGCCTTTAATGCAATATATGATTGTAGTTTAATGGGAAGACTTAATAAAATGACACAAGCAATTTTTTGATCCAGAAAAGGATCCAGATTTGGAAAAGGGATAATTAGGGACCCTCAGCCAGTTAACATTAGCTATGTACAGCACAATTTTGAAGGCTGGGAAAAATCCAAGATCTCAGCTTTATGGCCTTAATGTGAATTTTATTTTTACTGTCAGCACTTAGAATTATGGAATGCAAGAATTGAAAGGGTCTCGTATGACTCAGACGAGAAAGCAAGCCAGTGTGGTGAGCTTATTTGTCTAGGGAGGAAGGGGCACGACCTCTACACCGGGTCAGAGCCTACACTGGGCTCGGGGACTCTTCACCTCAGAGCTGTCCTCCCTGCTGGTTGCTTGGCTTCTATTCTCCACCTTCTGCAGGATTTCTACCCCGTCTGCTGCTGTAGGACTTGGGAAAGTTGCTCCTATGAGCCATCAGCAATTGTGTCTTTCATTCCTGCCTCATCACTCAGTGCCTTCAGTGCAGTCATGAATAACGAACTAATGTACATTTATTATCTCTGAAGCTTTGGAGTCATCATTTTTCTAAAAAAAGTCAAGATAAAGCAATCCCTTGTGTGTAGAGTTACCAGATTTAGCAAATAAAAGCACAGGACACTTAGACACATTTGAATTTCAGATTAATAACATTCATGTTTTAGTATAAGAATGTCCCAAATATTGCATGGGACAAAATAGTATTAAAAATAATTGTATTTTTATGAAATTCAAATTGAACCAGGCATCTTGCATTTTATCTTATAGACCTACTTGTGTTTCTGCCTCATTGTTTTGGTTAAGTATTGCTGCAGAACAAACTGCCACAAATGATAGCAACCATTTTATTATGTTTCACAATTCCAGGGGTTGACTGAGGGTCAGCAAAACTTTTGTGGTGTTTTCACTCGTGGTCTCCCAGACAGAGGCAGTCAGATGGTGGCTGTGTCTGGGTGTTTGAGGCCTGTGCTTCTTCTTTCCTCTTCAACATGAAGTCTAATCTCCTAGGCTTTCTTTATGTGGCTTCTCTCTCCAGCTGGGTAGCCTGGATTTCTTACATGATGTTTCAAGACTCCAAGAAAGAAAAGATGGAAGCTGCCAGGACTTCTTAATGCCTGAGCTCCAAAGTCACTACACTGTTGTTTCCTCCACATTATATAGGTTAGAATAGTCACAAACCCTAGGTTAACAGGAGCAAGTAGAGTATCTCTTATGGGAGAAGTACCCTGAATACACAGAAAGGGGTGGGATTGTTCAGAGCTATCTCTGGAAACATCCGTGGTCTTCAGTGTCAGTGAAGTAGTTGCTATGGTTCATTCTTAGTGTCCTTATTTGCCCTCCGTGGACTTCACTTTCTATTCTGATATTTATGCTTCAGGCAATAATAAAAACTAGTTAAAACAGCAACATGAGTCATCTCCACCTCTTCTTATTCTTGCAAAGTTCATCAAGCAGTTTGGTTTAAGCATCTTAGCTCTTTCACACAGAAAAGAGAAAGCCTCAACTCTTAAAATGTTTGCAATATTTAATGTTCCGCTCTTGTTATGGATGTTTGTTTTTAGTAAAAAAATAAACAGAACCCATCTTTCTGCACATTCATAGTAATCCCCTTGTTTACCCTTGGCTTGTCAATCAGCAACAGAGAAACATTTTAGCTTTGGTTCAGAGAATCACTGGATTTCATCTGTGAGGGATGAGATAAATTGCTTAGATGTATTTGGGGAGAACAAATTGTACATTTTGGGGCAACGAGATTAAATTTCCTAGGAGGTGACTTAGTGTTTATTTGTTTTAAACTTGCTCTGTGACTTGAATGCTTCTTGCACTTGAAAAAAAGAAAAAAGTCCTTGGCATCGTATTCCAGATTCTCTGTAATTTGGCTCCCAAGCTATACCCTTAATTCTTTTAAAAAATATTTATTTATCTTTATTGTTTTTGCTACTACAGCTATTCCTGCTTTTACTCCCTTTCCCCACCTCCACCCTGACCCTCCCTCTCTCCCCACCCTAAATCAATTCTCTGCTCAGTTCTCACTCCAGTTGTCCACTTGGAGTGTTTCACACAAATGTTCTTTGTTAATCCCGTGGCCACCTCCCTAACATTCCTTCACCTTCTGCATACATCCTTAGTCCTTCCTCCTCACCACACCAGCACAGTAACCTGTACTCTGACTAAAGGGTCTACTTAGTATTCACCAAATTTCCCATCACCTTTCTCCCCATTCCAAATGCAAATGGGTCTTTTTTTTCTTTTTAATTTTTTTATTGATTATGCTGTTACAGTTGTTCTATTCCCCCTTTCATTCCCCTCCACCCTACCCCCCCATCCCCACCACTACCCCCCCCTTTAGTTTATGATCATGTGTCTCAAGTCCTTTAGATTCTATATTTCCCATGCTATTCTTGCCCCCCATCTATTTTCTATCTACTGTCTATGCTACTTATTTTCTGAACCTTCTCCCCCCTTCTCCTCGTCCAATTCCCCTGTTGCTAACCCTCATTAAGATCTTCATTTCTATGTTTCCACTCCTGATCTAGCTGTCCTTTTAGTTTGCTTTTGTTTTAGGTGTGGTTGTTAATAACTGTGAGTTTGTTGTCCTTCCTGTTTGTTTCTGTAACTTCTTTTTCTTAGATAAGTCCCTTTAACATTTCATATAATAAGGGCTTGGTGATGATGAACTCCTTGAATTTGATCTTATCTGAGAAGCACCTTATCTGTCCTTCCATTCTAAATGAAAGTTTTGCTGGATAGAGCAATCTTGGTTATAGGTCTTTGGATTTCATGACTTGGAATACCTCTTTCCAGCCCCTTCTTGCCTGTAAGGTCTCTTTTGAGAAATCCGCTGACAGTCTGATGGGGACTCCTTTTTGAATATACGGCTTGTTTAACTTGGAGCTTTCCTGGTCCCCTTTATTCCCCGTAATCAACTGAGGAAGTTTAAGTAGTAAACTCTAGTGCTCCTGTGAAACCTGTACAATTGTCACCAGTGGAATTGTTTTCTTACAAGAGCGCTGGTAGCATATGTAGTTCTACTGTAGCAGTGATCTTATCAGCCAGTATTTTCTTTCCACTGAGTTTTACATCCTTAAAATGATAGCTATGACAACATTTCACATTTAATAAGTGCTTTCCAAACCTTTGTACTAATTTTAGCCTTTACAGTATTGATTTTTATCCCTGAAGAGAGAAATAATGTCATAAGTACTATTATCTTCACCTCAGGAGAGTTAATTCACTGAACCTCACCCAGCCAACTGCTACAGCCAACATTTGGGCCCGTGTCTCCTCAACCTCGGCTCAAATTTGTAACTGCTGCGCCATGGACCAGTTCACCAGCAGAACTTCCGGTGCCTAATACTCTGGTTTTACTGTCGTAAATTGTTTTCTTTCTTATTATTGACTTTACATATTTTTCTTTAAATGTAAATGTTCTTCCTTTAGTCTCTTTTTCTATTATTTATTTGAGAAATGCATACCTATAAAATTCTTAAAAAGAGAGGAAGATTTTTGGACCTTCTTTATTAAAAATCTAAAACAATGTATATATTCCACTTCTGTTATATTAGTCAGACTGAAACATACATTTGGTTTCATTAAAGGCAAGTTAAAATTTCTATGGGTATATACTGAGGGTATATTTCTATGGGTATGGATATAAAAAATTGTCTATTTCTTAAATGCCAAAAAAGGACTTGAGGTATGTCAAATAAAATAGGATTTTAGTAAAAAGAAAAAGACAAAATGAAAACTTTATTAATTCTTTAGTTGCCAAGTTGCTGAATGGGCATATATTCATTTCTTCTTCATGCTGGTAGTAGCAATGCCACACTCAGAAAAAAAGATGTGGGTTTTTATACTCCCTCTTCAATCTATCATTAAATAATATTAAGTATCCATAAGATGCATTCCTATTAAATTTATGCTCAATCGATTATTAGGTAATTTAGTTCTTATTAGTAAATTGAGTCTTGAAAGTTTTGTTTTGCTACTTGACTTAAAATTAAAATGACATTAATATCCACAAATATGTTTTCCATGTTCCCTAAAATGACTTTTTTCTAAAACACTTTCTTATCTTTCGTCTTCCTCTCACAATTTTATTCTTTCTCTTCCTTTATTTGTTGGTAGTGGTGGGGGCAGAGCTTTCTTACAGCTTTCATTTTGCAGTTTGAGTTGTAGAGAAATGTATTATTTTTTTATTAG